TACCAAAAATAATTTAATTCGATCATATTAATTATTTTTTTCGAGCCATAATTCCAAATTTAAAATTTCAAAACTATTTGAAAATTGTGTTAAATTTCGAATACATTTTTTGAGCTGTTTGTTTCTTTAGGTTAAATTCTCGATCTGCCTGCATAGACAGAGTGTCCCATTAATAACCGAGTGTTTTGGATATAGAGTAAAATGCAAATTAAGTTATAAACTTGTACGCATGAACGTTGATTCCAATACATGAGAAATAATATGCATGCACAAATGCTTAGATTCATCAAAACTCATATACATACATTAATACTATTGTCATTGCAAATCCGTGACGTACCTACCCCTTTCACTTTGTTGCGTCATATGCAATTTTTCTTATACTTACAATTTATCGGTCAAGAAGCTCAATTTCATTCGTATACCTATATTTATGTGGTATATTAAATTGACTACATGAACGGAGGAATTTCGGTTGGCACCGGTTGCATGCGTTTGTGTCAGAGCAGAAACTCATTAAATTTTCCTAAATGACATTATTAAACAATTTCGGTGCAGCGAATTCAGCCTTCGCCGTGAGGTCGAGTGAGATGCCGTATTCCGTTGTATTTTTGCGGCTGACGTCAGTCATACTAATAGTGCTTTCTGGCATTTTATCGATTGTAACATAACAAAATGCTTTATATAGTGTACATACGTACTGGTAGCGCAACAGTGCGTATGAGTGACATTTTACAGAGTAATAATGATAATATAAGGCCGGTTTCACGAGGAAGTTTAAGAAATTTATTGACAATATTTGGTGTGAAAATCACAAACACAGAAAAACAAACAAGGAAATTTTTTTCCAAATGTGTTTTGGTTAAATAAATGTAAATTTTTTAACACTTATTTTAATAAATGTAATAATTTAATGGCTAAAAAGTGTACAATCAACATCAAATTTGATTTGGATTTATTTTTTTCATAGATTGGTATATAAGGGTAATTTATAATTAGTAAAATAATCTCTTATTTCTCTTTTTCTCCTAAACTATACTTAATCTTGATTAAGTACGAAGCTTTGCTTAGTTAGGGACTAATGCGCTTCCTGACCACTTTTAGATAAATATTTAAAATTAAAATTACTTTCGTTGAACTATTGGAGCCCTGAATCTGGGGTTACTCTGTTTTTGTCAAACCAAATGCCATTATTTTTGGCTTTCAGTGCTGCTCTCTCTTCTTTTTTGCTCTCTTTCTTGTAATTTACGCCTATGTTAGTTGCATATAATACAATATATAATATATTATCGATGTTTTTAGCAAGGAAAAGTTTAGTAATGTCTTGGGTTCGGGTGACGTCCATGCATTACGTTTTCAATTAACAATTATATTTTCTTTTATGTCATTTGCGCACCGGGGTACTATCCTTCACTGTAAGAAAAGCAGAATAAACTGGCCAAATCTACATTTCACAAACATATATATAATACATGGATTTGCAAGCAGCTTCACAATGTATCTGCGCACAAACAAAATTTCGTGTACAAGCATTGCATTAGGGCCAAGATCATTCTCCTTAATATGTGTGTGGGACTGAATATTTAACAGTTACTCCTTGCATTTCACTGACGTCACAACATTGACAACAAAAGCTTTAGTTATTCAAATGCAAAGTACTTTTATGTTTATCCACCTATCTGTGGCTGTGGAACACGAAAAATATTACACTTTACAAATAATTACACACACTCACTCGAGCTTATAGTAGATGAAGGTCACTGCGACACTTTTGCGCACAAATGAGTTTAAAGGACACTAATGCTTTGAACATGCGTTGAAATAAGTAGGCTCGTTGTAAACAATAGAAACAAAAAACGTAGATTACGGTTGCACCGAAGCTATAATACCCTTTTCAAATACAAAAGGTTCCTTAAAGAACTCGATCAGGTCCGACCGGTCAGTTTGGATGGCACCTATATGCTACAATGCTCCGATCACAACAATTTCTTCGCGGATTACACCGTTGTCTTGGATTAGAGTCCATGCTAAATTCCGTGAAGATAGCTCGTCATATGAAAAAGTTGTCCATATAAGCACCAATCGTTCAGTTTGTATGGCAGCCGATAACAGCGGTGACGAGAAATTAGTAGCTTCTTTGGGAGAAAAAGATATGTGTAAAACTTCAAATCGGTATATCAAAAACTGAGGGACGCGTATCGCTTCCGTCTCTCTAGGATGTGGCTAAATCGACTCAGCTCATCAGGTTGATCAGTTATACATATATACTTTATAGAGTCTCTGACAAATTTGTGGTAAACTAAATATATCATGTTCAGTGTATAATTAACAATTTCGAAAACAATAATAACTTAGGCCTTAGATCGATTTTCGAACAACTGCTATTAGGCCTGAAAGTATAACAGTTACGTGCAGTTGAATGCATTTTTCGCCGAGTTTGAGACCGTTCTCAACAATCAGCCTAACCACAAAATCCGGTTGAATACATACCGGGTCTGCCAAAACAGAATGCATAACACTTGACCCAAAATTGGCGCGAAAATTTCTATAAAAAAATCGTTTGTTCTCATATGTGCATATGGCCTTGCATCGACATACTTTCTTTATTTGAATATACACTTGGCGCAGTAGAAGTGTGACACCGCACTGTCACTTGAACGCGCTTCAAGATTTGTACAGTATTCGCGAAATATTATACTTTACAGCAAAAATATATAAACAAATTAAATTGTTCTTTTGGTCACCAGTAATGATGCATTGACAGACTCAACAACCAAAACATTAACCGAAATGTTGAGTCGATCAAATATTTATGTTCGCTGCTAAACACACGCTAATCGACATATAGAGATAAAACTTATCTTCTCTTCACTTTACTTTTAACGTAGTAGTTGTCAATTCAACACGAAAAGCTTGTCATAAATTGCTATTAAAATGAAACGACAACCATTTTTGTTTGTTTGATCTTACGTATATGTATATTAAATATAGTTCTAACCATATCTATGATTGGTCTCGTATTCTTAATATGCCGGCCACCACTGTATTTTCGGAATCGAACAACTTTTTTTATTGCAGGACAATTTTTTTCCTTCCATGATGTGCTAAACCTAAGTGCTTCAAAGACCTTCGTGATAAATATATTCGTGCATTATAAACTGTGTAGCTATTTTTGACTGAAGGCGATAGTCTGGGCTAATTGAAAGGCTTGAATTGGTTTTTGAAAACTTACAAGTGCACTTAGTAGTCTTAGGCGAATAAATGCTTGCACATATACATATACTTACATAAGTACAAGTATTTAGTTGCGATTCCTGTTGCGTATAAATGAAACTAGGTCATACGCGTTCACCCTCCACACATTCATAGTTACGCGTAAAAAAAAGAATTTGGGCTTCGCCTTAGCAATCCCTGTAGTGAATGCTTAAATTAGATTACAATATATTATATAATGTAATAGTTTTGTTTCTAATACTCTATTCAGGCGAGTACGAACTAATGCTCTGCCACATGTTAGCAGAGTGTGTCAGTTGTAGTAAGCGAAGTTGTCTCCATTTGATATGGCACTATATTTGAGAACTACTTTTGACACCGAATTCATCCGAAATTAATGTGGCTCTACTTATAAGTTACCTGCCCGATTTTTTTAAGATCATCATTGCAACAAACAACCTTTGACGATCATGTGTAGAACACCTTAATTGGCATAGACGGTTGAAGTTTTTGAGGAGAAGTCAGCGAGTTCATCAGCATAACAGACAACTTTAAAATTCGTCACAAAGATTAAGTAATCAGGACTAACTCGTTGATGATAATGATCCAACAAAAATGATATAAGGTGAGGGTCGTCTCTTAGCTTCTTACTTAGAATATATAGTAGTTTTGTTCATATGAATAATAGAGATGTATGGAAGTCAACAAAAAAAGGATGCTGAGCAAACTTATATCTGTTTCTGCAAACGATATCTTCAGCAAAAATTTTGATTTATTGATAAAACTTGGTATTCAGGGTTCCCGATAAGGTTGGTATTGCACATAGACGATATACTATACGAGGGCGGTCCGATAAGTCTTTAGCATCACCGGCCGATGGTCCCACGATGGCAAGATAATTTTAACGATTTAATACGATTACTACATTTTCGGTGCCGGATAATATTAAAATTTCAGGCGAATTGGAAACATGGTTTGGTTTTGACCGCGTGTGGAAACAATTTTATAGGTAGAGTTTAGAACAATGGAATAAGTGCGGCAGCGGTCAATGATTCGACCAGGCAGTGAAGGCAAAAACCCTAGTATCGGCCAAAAAAACTTTTTCGTTTAGAAGCATTAAGATGTCCCTGCATGCGACGAGAAACTTGAAGTATAATCGATTCAACCAACTTTGTAGACGTCCAGGTAACGTATTTTTCAGACGTACTACCATAAAGTAGTTGCAACCTCGCTGGATCTAGTGTAACTAGCGAATAGTAAACTACGTTGAAAAATAATTGACATTTATTTCAAACTTCAAGTGTTAATCTTTTCTGTGATACATAAATATATATTCCTTACTTATTTTCACAGCCATCCTGGAGGCATGCAAATTTCAATAGAGGGTATTTTCTGTTGGCCTCCATTTTACCCTCTTGACTCCTTTATTAAGATATGTAATTTTAACCAACACATTGGTTAGGAAAACTTATAGTCAAAAAGTTTTAGTTAAATATCGTAAATTGGGTATACATTAAAGCACGTTCTCGTTAGTCAAGCGCTATTTTCTGAAGAAGAAAGATAACGTCATATTTGAGGCAGATAAGACTAGCAGATTGCTAGACGCCACAAACAAGATTTGTATAACTGTAATTACACATACCTTTAGATTATGCGTCACCTGTGTGTGTGCAGCAGTACCTGGAATGGGTGAGATTATTTGATTATTTTGGTATCTTTTATAAAGATTCCACGACACATCACCTGAAGTATGTGTGTGTGTATGCTACATCTATGTACATGTTATGCTTTCATTTATGAATATATAAATATGCGTAAAAATTTCGCATTTAGTTCATTACCAAAATTCGCGAACGACACTTGTGACCATGAATTCAACGAAGAGCTTAATTTTTATCATCGCGGTTGGTCTACCTTGCTATTTTACATAATATACAATGGAAATTATTTTATATATTCTTCCGACAGTTGTTATTCGTTGTTGCACTTGCAAGAGGAGTTCCTGTGGTCAGTTCTCCATATAATAGTCAAACTAACTCAGATCTTTGCACGGAACGGAAAACCAAAGGCTTTTTCGCCGACCCATCTGATACGGATTGCACCAGGTAAGCTAGAACCAATCTATACAGTTTTGACATTTAACAAACCAAATATTTTCAGATATATCAATTGTTATAACCTAAATGGCAAGTGGCAGACGAAACTATTGAAATGTCCTGAGGGGCAATTCTTTGATGCTTCTTTGAGCATCTGTAGCAGTCTATATAATTGCCCACTTTGAAAGCAGACTGTAACTGAGATGTAATTAGTCGGTCAATCTATAACATATTATATTAAGTTGTCGTTTGTCTCTATAGATATGCGTAATTTATTGTATCTGATTTGTATCAGTAACGTCACGTATATAATATATAGTACCGTTAAAAATGCTTTTTAGGTTATAACATAATTAATGTAAATAAATCTTAACCATTACTTTATAATGGGAAAAGTCAAAGAGCCGCTATGTCTTTACAACTACGCGACAGAAGACTATGTAAATCTCTCAATGGGAAAAATGGGAAGTCAACCTGAAGTAATGCAAAAGTGGTTCCAGGGTGAGCGTCGTTCGGTTTTTAGTGACCTGCAAGTGGCACACACCGTTGCTGTGACGACCCCATTGATGATGCGGAAAAGTATCGGTCAATATTCACATTTTTTATTTTAATAAAATTGAGTAAACATATTTTCTAGACCACAATATGACTGAACATTAAAAATTAATAATTCTTGTAGATAATAAGGGATTTTCTTTTAAAGATATTTATTCCCTGGCACTCTAAGAGTTGGTATTGTAGATGGCCGAAACATTATCAATAAATAGCAATATCATAACAAAATTATTGTAGTTTGGTTTTTAAATGGGTGAAATTGGTTCCATATTCTACATATAATGATTATCGAAAATGCTCTCAGCTCTGACCTTCTCCTAATCTCTAATATATCCTTAATATATCGTATATAATGATTTTGGACTTGCAGCTGATGATATAAGTACCATATTGATCAATATTTGTGATATCCTAATGATTTTAAGTTAACAAGTTTTCTTCTCCATAGTATGACTTAGCGGTGTATATCGGGTCATACCTTGGACTAGCCCCCATACTCTTAATATAATGATTGCGGACATTCTGGACACTCACTAAAAAGTACGTCAGAAGCACTAATTGCCTCAGTAGAAGTCCTATACCTCAGTAACTACTCTTACCAATTTCAACCAAATTTGCTGCATTACATTCATCTAAGGTTCATATAGTAGAGTGTGAAGCGTAATCTGACCACAACCATGTTCACTTCTCATATATAACAATTTTAAATTCCGTCTTATTCTTTCATTCTACATTATATAAATCGTGAATCAATCACGCTATCGAAATAAAATGTTGCACAAATACTGCCTTTATTACATCCCACCTCTAAAAGTTGTCGAAATTAGATCTTAACTTTTCAAGACCTCATATACCGAATACGTGCCTATGGCTGACTTTCTACCGAAAATATTGGTAAATCTGTGAGATATAATATTGGAATTCGGCTAAAATCTTTTTATCATAAGAGTAGACTTTCATGATCATATCGTTTCATTTCACTTCGCTCTCACAAATAGTGAAAACGAATTAGTCTAATCTAGTAGTAATAGACTAGTCTAGAGAGCTGCCTTAACGGCAAATATTCTAGCTATTAAATTTAGAGATATACGAGAGTATATTACTGATTTTTATAAAAAATAGAAATTTAAAAACTTGGCGCTTATGTCTTTTTTGCGCACCGCCTTTGCGCCGCTAATGCATACGGATAAGAAGATATAAAAATATGCTATCTAAATTTATGAAAATCATGAAGTTATATATCTTAAATCTAGTTTACAAAATTATGTACACGTGAGAAGATAATATATTTTGTATATGGTTTAAAGAGAACTAACCACATTTAAAATAAACGGTACCTCATCAAATATTTTATACAATAGATTACTCATTCCATATCCGCAGACCATATAGCACGCAATTGAGTGCTAATATTTATGGCATTGATATAATATTTTATGACGAAAAGTTATCTATTTAAGTACCTACCATAGATACAGCGCTGCCATAAAATAATTTTAAATTGTGACCAAAAATGTAGCAGAAATTATTATTTTTTGTGCTTTAGTGTAAATATTTAGTTATTTGTTTGGGAGAGTCATGAAATTTTTCAAAAAATCAAAAAAAATACAGAGCTTTGCGTCCACTATGTTTCCTATATAACGGAGACAATTTCTTCTAAATATAGACATCTGGCACGTGATATAACCAAAATTTTATTAGATTTTACAGTACACATTTCTATCAAAACGCTATAGAGACT